AACCATGTACAAATATTGAGTAATAATGTAGAGAGCCATGGCCATGTACAAATATTGAGTAAAAATTGTTGAAAAACCATGTACAAATTTTAAGTAAAAATGTTGATTACAATAGACAAATGTTTAGTAAAAATGTTGAGCACCAAGTGCAAATATTGAGAATCATGTACAAATGTTAAAGTTAAAAAATGGAAAAATGTTTAGTAAAAATGTTTACAGTACTAAGTGCAAATGTTCGATATTGAATAAGAATGTTGAGTATCATGTAAATATATTAAGAACCTGGTACAAACATTTAGTAAAAAATGTTTAGTACCAAATGCACATTTTGTATGATTGTTGTATGTAACATACAGGAGATAATTATGTATGTGCATGCATGACATCTATAATTTATAGCTTAAATGAATACTGTCACAGTACCAAGGCAATTTAAGGAACCTTGTAAAGTCACAAAATGACATGAATTTTATTACAGTTTTCAAAAATTTGTGTCAATGTCCTAACAAATAACTAAAATGAAGAAGAAAAATTTACTAGAAATCAAATGCACACGAAAATAGAATAGAAAAGATTTGTACTTTATTGACACCGTAAAGAAAATATTACATTTCGCTTTTGGTTATGGACATCAATGAAGTTGAAATATAGAAAACAGTAATGTATTGAGTAAAAAATATAAAAATAGCAACATTAGATTATACTACTAGTATTTTGGTTGTGAGACCCGTTTCTATTGCTAATGTATGATTACTTGTTCTAAATTTGGCTAATTCTCTCAATCTGATATTGAGTATTTATAAGTCTAATGTATTGTTCCACTTTGAGATTGTTTTTATATGTGTGATAAGTCCGTAAATTTGCAACGTCTCTTGTATTATCTTTCTTCCACAATGCACTGAAATATTCTTTTAATTTAGTTTGTAGTGTTTTTACAGCGATATTGTCTATACATTTATGTATATTAAAGATTTTAAGATTTTGTTGTAGCTATGACAACCAAGTTCATATCCTGTAGTGCATAGTATGCCAGATTTGTATTTTCAATTCCTTGTAGATGTTGGTAGTATTTAATTGCTGCACTGTATGTGTTGTTTATTAGTGGTTCTCTCCATACGGCATGCTATTTTACTTGATTTGTTATTCAAGCATAGAGCATAGTGCAAAATGTTTTACTAGAGGGTGCATATTCTACTTGACTCCCTAGGTTAGTTAACAAATCCTGACTATTGTAATTTTGCTGACTCGTGATGAATCTACAATAAATGCACACAAAAGTCGAATGTGTTATTAGAGGGTGCATATTCTACTTGACTCCCTAGGTTAGTTAACAGATCCTGACTATTGTAATTTTGCTGACTCCTGATGAATCTACAATAAATGCACACAAAAGTCGAATGTTTTACTAGAGGGTGCATATGCTACTTGACTCCCTAGGTTAGTTAACAAATCCTGACTATTGTAATTTTGCTAACTCGTGATGAATCTACAATAAATGCACACAAAATTCGAATGTGTTACTAGAGGGTGCATAGTATGCTACTTGACTCCCTAAGTTAGGTAAAAAAAAGCCCAGTGATACATAAAAAATTGCATAAATCTCCTGACTCATGGTGCCTCTACAATATTATCCTCTATAATTCACATTTTATGACAATAGACGGTAGCAATTAATGCATTTTGTTTATTTTTACATTCTGTAATATGAATATTGCATTAATATTAAATTTCAACAAAATTCATTTTCTGCCCTAACAAATTTGTACCATAATAGAAAGCATCTTTTAATGGCAGACATAATTCAGGAATTGATCAGTATCATGAACAAAGCATGTAAAAACACAAACAATAAATCAACCTTATTATTCTTTTATTCCAAGTATGTATTTGTTGCTCTATTAGTAGCACTCAATGAGTAAATAGCAGAAGTGTGCCTATGATGAAAATTTGCCATATTTTACTAACATAACATGTGTTTTTATCGAAGATGCACTTTTAATATAATGGAAATATGGTATATGCAACATCTGCATTCAATTTGCAGTTATTTGAACTGAAGAATTCTGTCAACCAATAAATATGAGCAATCCTGAGATTCTTGTATACAATGCTCTCAATTCAGAAAGGTCACAAACTTTAGCTTTTGGATGCCCTATCAAGTGTGTCCTTTAAAATATTTCAGACATTTCCTACACAATTTCCTTTAGTCCAAGGCATTTAGAGGCCTGGAATATTTGGTGCCTACACAATTGTGAAGTAATTGGGAAAAGGGTTGCTAATCCATGTCCACTTACATGTACTTCCCCAAAGCTATCAATTAAATGTTGTTTTTTTTCTTTCTAAAGAGCCATTTTTTTTTGGAATAATAAATAAACAAATAAATTATTTTTATTCATTAAGCCGATTGGTGGCAATTCACTATTATATTGTAGTGTTTGTTAAAATGAACTATGAGAAAGCTGACAATCAGTCGGCTCAATAGATTTGTTGAATTAGTGAGACTAAATTGAACATTAAGGTTGTTATTATTGGCAACAGTTTTGCATCAAGTAAAGTCTGTACAAGTATCTAATTAACTATAATTACTGTAAAATTCTCAATTTTCACCATTTTGGCTGAAAGAATGATTCAGTAAAAATAAAATCTAATAAATATTCCTTTTTCCTTCAACTCATCAAAAATCAGGGAAATTAAACTAAATTAATTCCTGCTGAAATAAAAAAAGTATTTCACAGTATCATAAAACTTACCTGTAATATGTACCAAAGAAATTTAATGGCCCATACAACTGAATAACATAGGTTGAAAATAAAACATAATCCCCAACCTATGCATATGGATAAAAATATTTACATATTATTATGGACATATACAACTTGTGTTTAAACACATCTAGGAAATATTGTCTTGCAATTTTTTTTACTTTAACCTTTTCACAACAAGACTTTCTCCCTCACATTTTTCTGCACTTTTTTTATAATCCCCAATATCTCTCAAAATAAACCCTAATTTTGGGAGCCATCAAGACAAAATTTGAGTAAATTTTTATTTTTTACTAAATATTTGTCCCAATCTTCTGAAGGAAAGTGCAGACTATAAACAGAACTATTTTGTGAATTTGATGAAAAGTCGAAACTGGTTGTGAAAAGGTTAACATTTCCTTATAAGCAATGTATATTATGACATTTTACATAGTCCTAAATGAAAAAGTACACACAAAACTGGAATATATGGCCATCTAGTCTTATTTACACCTCTTGTAAGATTTGCTGCTGATCCTTACATGTATGTTGATCGATGTACATGTAGAACACAATGATAGAGTGAAATTGAAACAACGAATTATGCAGGTGCATCGATTGGAGCTTCAACTTTGAACTGAAAATTGCTTTCCTTGAAGCTAAAACAACCCATAAAAATGTATGGTCCAGGGCGTGCCAATTGATCATTGCCACCGGACATAGACGACCTAAAAAGTAACACAGGTTATTAGAACATAAAAACCATAAACATACAGTTTAGGGGCACCTCTCTGAATTTCTGTGCATGTATTACACAACAAAAATGTCAAAATGACTGAAGATTTTTGTAAATTCTTAGCAAGTTTGAACATCCCTTAGCCTGTGCTAACTCCGGTGTGTGAATGCAATTTGGTCCATCTGATATGCAAACATACAATGTACATTGTATGTACACACAACATTGTGCAATGCTGTAATTTTATTGAGATAGGTGGACAGGTGTAGAATAATGGCAATTGTGGTCAAAACCAGGATATTGACAGACTACTCACAGACAACTGGCCATAATATAGCATCATCTGCCTGTACAATGTTGTTCTGCTTGGACATACTACACTACTCTGAAGGGCTTTTTGAAACATTCAATTTAAAATTCAATATATATGTAATATAGAAGTTTATTAATTAAGTCGTGAATAAGAACATGTCGAGAATTTTTCAGTATAAAGTTCAATTTATCAATATATTTGAAAATAAGAATAAAAATTATACTATAATTATGTGTGTTTGCCTTGATTAAAGGGGAAGTTCAGAGAAACAAAATAATTCTTTCGGATGAAAGATCTCTATAAATGTAATAAATGTAGGA